CCATGTGCAACCTTTGTTGAAGGATGTATTTAGACCACCTGCAGCTGAAAGCTAGGAAGCATCATTCTACATTATTGTTTCTTCTATGTTCCCTCAGTAGATGCTGCTAGACTCCTTCAAAAACAGGTCATGGGCTGGACAGACTTGATGAGCTGACAAACTGATACAAAATGCTAGTCTGAAAAGCTTACGGAGACAGAGATGCCTGCTCTGGAAAAGCTATTGGCTGGGATAAAGAGAGGAACAAGAAGCTCGGTGAATGGGAGAAGTTTCCAGCTGTGGAAATTCCAGGTGAAAGTCATAATTTTGTTCAAATGAAGCAACATTTGGTATTACTAGTAAGGAAAACTGTATCTCATCACTTTCTCCCAATGCTACTTTGCTGCCTTCAAGAAAATAGTATTTAAAAAGATAACAAAGACATATCAGAGACAGCATATACCAATGTCACCAGAAAACTGTGAGCCAAGAAGTCCCAAAAGCTGTAATTAAGAAAACCTCTTCAGGTTCTTTTTTCTCTAGACCAGGTTGCTCAAAGTCCTGTCCAACCTGGCCTTGAACACTGCCGGGGATGAAGCAGCCACAGCTTCTCTGGGCAACCTGTGCCAGTGCCTCACCACCCTCACAGTATAGAATTTTTTCCTAATATCTAATCTAAATCCACCCTCTTTTGGTTTAAAGCCATTCCCCCTTGTCCTGTCACTACATGCCCTTGCAAAAAGTTCCCCACCAGCTTTTTTGTAGGCCCCATTTAGGTACTTTATATTCTTTATATTCTTCAGAAGTGATACTAGAAACTGTTATCTAATGCTACTGAGAAAATTAGACCATCATTAGAAATCATTGATTAGATATTCCCTACCATGCTTTTCCAAAGTGTAGCTGAAGCCTGTCATATTTAGAAAACTTTCAGGAAAAAGTAACATTTTCTGAAGTAGAAGAAGAAATTCCTTTTGCAATCTCTTAGTGAAACTGTTTCATTTGAAGAACACAACAAATACCTAGAAGTAAATGAAGCAGTGTATGGTTCAGAATTAAAATCTGCATTTGCTAAACAAAAAAATTGATTTGGGGGACAAAGACTCTTTAGGTTTTATGTTCGACAATATCCCAGTGAAATCAGTCACACAGAATCAGTCAAATTACTTTATTCACTATGTTACTTGTGAAGTGAGGCAAGGATTTCATGGCTTTTAAAATAAAAATGCTGCTCAACACATTACCAGAAAGTTACATCATCTCTACCCACCTGCTGAATGCTGTGACCAGCAATTAAAAAATCATGCTGTTCTTTGACAGGCAAAAGCAGCATCTCAACAGGGAGGAAATATGTGCAAGTAAAATAATAACTGTACCTCAAAAATCCAGAAGAGTGATAACAGAGCATGTATTTAATCTCAATTTAGTCCAAGCACTCCCTATGACAGAAAGCATGACTGATGAGAATTTATTATTTTATGCTGGCAGCATGCAGTGTCCTGTGGCTCAGACTGAAAAAAAGAAAAGCATCTCTCTTTAAAATCTTGCATCTTCCTATCTTCCTTTCTAGGGTGGGCTCTTAACAGGCTCACCAGAGGTATGAACTGTGCATCTAGGACAGAATCAGTTAAAATATTCTGAACATAATTCAATTTATTTAAAGTGCCTATTCAGAGCTGGAGACAGAGGCAACAGTCATAGAACCACAGGCGGGTTTGGGTTGGAAAGGACCTTAAAGCTCATCTAGTTCTAACCCCCTGCCACAGGCACGGACACCTTCCACTAAACCAGTTTGCTCCAAGCCCCTGTGTCCAACCTGGCCTTGAATCCTGCCAGAGATGGGGCAGCCACAGCTTCTCTGGGCAACCTGTGCCAGTGCCTCAGCACCCTCACAGGGAAGAAGTTCTTCCTAATACTTAATCCAAATCTACCTTCTTTCAGTTTAAAGGGTGTCATGATCAATGCATGTTGAACAGCATACATGGACAGACATCTGTCAGTGTATTAATACTAGACTTTTCATGAGCCTATAAATTCATTTTTTTCTGATGCAATTTCATTTTATTACAGTAAAACTATTCCAAGACAAATTACAATTACAGTTTTCTAATACTGAAGTATTTAGGTGAGTTCAAGCAAGCACCACACAGTCGCTTTGATTAACAGTGTGGCAAATCCCAGCAGGCAACGCTCCAATTTGATAGAGGAAATTGGAACAACAAGACACTAGGATTGATGGTTACTACTGCTACCCCTTGAGATTGGGAATGACAGAAAACCCGAACTCCTCCAGTTACAGGCAAGTTAGCTGTGGCTCTACAGTTGTTGGTAATATCTCAGCGCAATCCTCAGACTGCCACACTTTAGTTACTGTTATGACCTGCACATCCATTTTATAAGAAAGCAATCTTTTAAATTCCCCTTATCCATCCCAATAGGTACCATTACTCCTTTTTCAAGTTAGATACATCGGCAATTCAGAGAAATCTTCCTATTACCCATTACCAAGAAGAGTCTATCCTATGAAATTCAATTGTGTTACATGTTTAAGTGAAAACTCAAGTCACCAAAATAGCCAGATTTCCTGTAGGAACTTAAAATTAAAAAAAAAAAAACACAAAACAACCCAAGAAAACAACAGCTGGAATCTTTAAAGGGGAATTGCATGCCCATGTACACACATACATGCATGCCCTACTGCTGACTGAGCTATCAGATCAGGTACATTACCTTTTAGTTTTATTTCTCTTCCCAATTCTAAACTGATTGAACTAACTCCAATCAGCATAAAATAAAGGTTATATACTATTTCACTTCATAGCCTAATGCTATCATTAATTGCACACTCTTAAAACTTCATGTTGCATTAGTTCTTGTAGATCAGTGTCTAATTGGCATCAGTTAATTCAGTTAACTGACTGGATTTAAATTTGCTGTTTTGAATTAATCAGTACTTCTTAAACAGATGAAATGCATTACAGATCACACTGTGTTAGAAGTGACTTTCAGGGACATGTCATCTGACTACAATACATCAGAATATGCAAAAAACAATTCACAAAAAACGTCCCAAGACTGGTGTCACTGTTCGCTAACTGGGAACTAAATGCTAAATTACTCACACAAGTGACATGTCTCTGAATACAAATTCTACCCAAAATAGCTTTTCTAAGGAAGCAGAAAAGTGTATAACAATAAAATCGTGGTAAACAAAGTGAGCTACTGAACACCAGAGTTTTGCATATGCTCCATTTCAACAAAAACTGAGATTGACCAAATGCTCTTCTCTCTAGACTGTGGGTCTAAAATCCAAGTGAGAGTGGCTAATAGATATGTATTTTAGAGATTGAGTTCACAAGACTTTGCATATACCTGTTACCTTAAAAGATTTCAGAATGGGGATCCTACTTACTGTTTAGTGAGTGTGCTGTGTTCACATCATACTCTCACACTGAAAAAATGTGGACAATTGTTAGAGCCCAGGAATCTCACTCAGAGAAGACCCGGATGACAAAAATGTTGGAAAGGCATCTTATAAATTGAAAGATTATTAAATCACAGAGTTGGTCCCACCTTGGGCAGGACATAGACCTCAAAGACTGAACATTACAGAAAAACTGCTTTGGATTTGCTTCCAACTAGAGAGGTACTGCAACAGAGCAACAATAACAAAAATTGATACAGATGATAAAGTAAACTGGTCAATTAAACAAACACCATAGGAAGAAAAAGCGAGTCCATTTTTGGTAAACTCTGTTATCTACAAAGAAACTGCACAGTACTAACTGTATAACAACAGACTTTGCAGATCTTTTATTCGCACAACATACTTGGACAAAACAGACAGCTTTATTCTAAATCCCTCTGCTTTGCTATATGGGCAGTGTCAGATTCAAAACAAAGAAACACAACAGCCACCCTGTACTAAAAAGTCTTTATCAGCACCCTAAGTCAGCTTGTTTGTGCAGCTGGAACTTACTGGTAAATGCAGGGCTTGGAAAACAAGCTCTTGTGAAGAAGCAGGCAGCTAAAACAAAGAATTAATAGCCACAACAAAAGAGGTTGCAAAGTAATCCGATTTATTACTCTCACAGCTCCACTGAAAACATGTAAAGGAAAAGCATTTACCATTGAAGAGCAGATATTTAAAGTCAGTATTAAAATTGCAAAACAAAGTAGAATGACTTCACTTAAAAAAGGAAAAATAAAATACTGCAAACAGTTAAAAGTATGAGAATACTTTCAGAATGGGTAATAGGTTCCATTTGTGATACGAACAGGAATAAGATGATACTAAATGGTGATGCAGATTTAATGCTCATTCTGGTGCCAGGTAGCTCCAGTTGTTTCCCCAAATCCCTTTTTGCTAGAATTTCCAATTACTTAAGACTGAGCTAGAAGATGGTTACAAACTGTACTCAGGCCCTGGTTCAATGAATAATTCAGATCAAAACCAGAAAATACATTTTTCATCCTTCATATTATCTAGTATTACTCCATTGCTTCACTCTGACGCAGTGGCATATCTCTTAGCTAAATATTTTTCACACACGTGCTCTGGTAGCAAGTTTCTAGTGTCAGTGACCTAAGTTTTAATTCTTTTCCAGCTTCTTGCATGATTTTGTCAGCTTGTGAACTACTACACAGATGAACTAGTTTCTTTTCCCATAGTTACAATAAAGCATGTAATTTGTGATTAGAGTGCTTGCATAATTATGCAAGAGGAAAATAAAACATTCCAGGCTTTCCATAATTTCTAAGTAATTTAGGACAACCTACCTCATAGCCATGATTATGTCAACAGACTTAGCTGTCTTGGTTGTTTAGATCACAGGATGTGCTAGCATTGAAGAGCTGCTTTATGTGACAAGTTTTCACTGTAACAGTGCTTGAAACAGGGCTGTATTTTAACTACATCATAAATATCCTTATATGACTTATGATTGCAACCAAGTTATTACTCACAGCTAGAAATATTTCTGAAGTAAGAGAACTTTTAAATAGACAAATTCGTGCCTTACCTTGTGAAAGGCACTGATTTGCCAGAGCAACCTGTCCAGAGTGTAGATACAGATTAAGGCGTGTGAAGATACCACTCAGAGATGGAATTGTAATGAAGCAGAAGGCAACACAAGCCTAAAGCAAATAAAAAAAGAAATCTGAAGAAAATTCCTATCTCAGAGTTATAGCAATCATTACTGATTTTATACACCATTAGCAATCAAAACCTGTAAATCATTTTTGGGAAAGACTTTCAATAAAAAGAAAACATTATGTGAAGTCCAAACCCAGCAACTTCAAATTTCTCATTATTTCAATATTTACTGTTATACTTAAGTATAACACTATTTGTAACAAACTTAATTATTGTTATTATAAGTAGATTTGCTCAAAGCTTGCTCTATGACTCCAGTTCAGAGCTCTTCTCTCCTCAGGTAACCAGCTTGCAGCTCAAGACCAAAATCTAACTAGGAAAGCAGACTACTGGTCCTCAGGGATAATCTGTCAGGTGCACTGGGTGCATTTGGGAAGCAGCAGATCCAGCACAGCATGCCGCAGCTTTAGACCTACTGGAACAGCCCAAACACCTAGGTCGAGGAAGTAGCTCCCAAGCATACAGAAGCTGGCCCATGCCACCCCACCTATCCTTGGTCCAGGACATCATGCACAGGTACCATGAACAAAAATCCGTTCATTAATGGCAGCATATGTAAACACCTTCCCTGCACATGTAGATGAAGACATCTTAGTTGCTACGTTTCAGGCGAGAGGAGTGGAACACAAGCAACTTGCATAGCTTATGCATGGTTCAAAGCTCATTTGACCATATTTGTACAGACTCGAAGGCACTAAAGCTGAAAAGAGCACTTTATTTGAACTTCAAATACTGATTTCAGCATATCAACACCAATATTATGAGACAGAAGTTTAAATATATTCTTTTCTCCCTATCTCCCAATCTCACTATGACTGAGTTACATAGAAATTAAGTATTTTATTTCAAATAGAGTTTGAAAAGCTGAGCTTTCTAGAATTCACAGGAACACCCCTCCAATGAACCTTCCTTTGGCGAGGGAGTCAGTCTTGCTGTTCTTTTTAACACAAAGCTACTATTAGATGCTCTGGGCTTTTTTTTCCCCTTAAATGGCAGCACGTGGATTTAGAGAGTAAAGATCAATGGTAACAAGAAAAAATGAGACCACAAGCAGTGTAAAACACACTAACACATTGGTGTTGCAAAAACTATAAACTTAGGGGGCAGCAGATAGTATTATCTCCTAACGTGGCAGGCTCACAGTTTGTTAGAGTCAGACCTACCCTGACAAACGCAGCAGTCTTTCTGGAATGATTTCCCTTCATCACCTTTCTTGTTTCCATTGCTAGCTGGTTCACAGACTACACATAAAAAACAAAAGCAAATCATTAAAGAAAAATGCACAGATTTATTAGGTCAGCAGCAAGTAACAAATGGCATGTTTTACATTTAGAGAACAGAAACTGTCAAAAGGGACCCTGATACATTGTGCCCTCACTGTAACTTCAGTTTTTACTTCGAGAATTTTAGTAATTGTGCCTTAAGGCAAGTATGATTCTGAAGGTTTGTGAAGGGAGACTTGTTGATTTATACAGGTTTTAGATTCTCCCTTGCTTCCCAGCTATAATGCTGTCATCACCTCCTCCCTAGTGGAAAAAAACATGATTTCTAGTTTATTAAAATAACCCTCAAACCCAACCACAAAATAATAAAAGGATTTAAGAGAAGATACAATGTTCCAAAGGAATCAGATGCAGCTAATGCTCACCTGACATGTGACTGAATACAGAAAAGAGATTAACCTTCCCCATCACAGCAGGATTCTGCCTGTATCTGCAGCCAGACACAGACTAATCTCTCCTCGATGGAGGATTATAGAAGATAGAACTGAAATTCTGACTGCACAAAAGTGCCGTTTACTTTGTAAGACATGAAATCTCTAGCAGGTTTTCTTTGTTGCAAGGATACCATGCACGCCTGTCAAGCAAGAACTTCAGAGAGTTTAGTGTGATAAAATGAGAGACAAGATCAAAGTCTACTTTAAAAACACCTGATAAAAAGACTTCAGATTTACTCTGACATAGGCTAATAATGTGGACATGGAATGGGAGAATGGCAAATATATCCCCACTTGTTAAGATAATGCAGATAAACTGAAGCTTACATGAATCAACTGGACTAAAACAGGCTCCAGATTGCAAAACATTGACCTGGCTTCAACATAGAAACTCAGCTGTTGTTCAAAGTCACGGCCAAATGAAACCTATAAAAGACAAAAGCTCACAGTTTTTACCATTGTAGACCACTAAAACCACAGATATTCAAAAGTCAAAATCCCCATATACTGGGGTAAGAAAAAACCCCACCATTAACAATAAAATAGAATCTGTGTCCTTGTAACTCTCTGATTTCCAATACATAACCTTCAGGGAAATTTGAAGGTTTTGCTGAGGGTTTTTTTGTCCATACTCCACATGATCTCCTACTTCACAAATCAAATATTTATCACGAAAACAAGATTTAAATCCTAGATTTGTGCAGTGCTTTCAAAACTAGCAGAACTCTCAATTCTTCACAGAACAGGGACAAATACTTGGTATAGGTCATACTTAAAAAGCAAGACAAAACAAAAACCCCATACAACAGGAAAAAAGAAACAGGTCAGTGAATCTGTATTCAGATTCCTGTAATTTCTAGTTGATATAGGGCCTCCGAGAGAAATTAGCATAACCAGATATACCACTTAGAAAAGAGTGGTTTCCTCAAGTTTGGTTAATAAATATATTCTTACAAAGCATGGCAAAAGCCTGCAAGCTTGCATGCTGGCAGGAGAGAAGTCAAAAAAACAACCCTTGTGTAAGGACACCCTAATTCCAAGCCTCTAGATTTTAAAAAACCAAGTGCTGTCAGCTGGAGTGTCTCAGCTGTCAGTTAAAAGCCCAGCAAGAGAAACAGTCTCCAGGCAGTCTACATTTATGGATTCAAATGGATCTTTTTTTTCCCCTAATAGAAGTAAAAGGTTGCATTATTTATTATTTCTCAAGCCACATGCAAAAGAAGATTTTTTCAGAAATAAAATGAAAATGACGTTTAATCCATACAGTGAAAGATCAAAGGAACTGCATCAGAAAACAAAGGATTGCTTCTTGCATTACAGGCAACTGCCTTTGCCTTACTCTATTTGGGCAACTGCTGATTCTTGACTTCTAGTCTCAAGTAAACGTCTCTAAAAACATAGTATTTTCTATACAAAAGCCTTCCCCCTCCACATCTTAATGCATGCTGGTTTAAAATTTGTAACTAGTCATTTCACTGCTATGGGATTTTATTTCCCCCTAAACCAAAACTGTAAAGCCACATCAAATATTATTCAATGTGGGAAATCCTCCTAAAGGAAATTATACAACATTATACTGCACATAAAGCTTAATAAAGCAAAATTATATAAGAACATATTAAATAGCAAATTATTATAGCTGAAGAGAAAGCAACCATCTAGAGATAAATTCATAGCACTGTAACAAAGAACAAAGATGACAAGTAGAGACGAAGCCTGTCAGCTCCGACTATGTGAAAGAAAAGCCAAGTGTTGAGAGTACCTGGTTAGACAATAAAAAAAGCTTGAGAACATCTCCCTAAAACAACCTGACATCTCAAGCACAACACACAAGAACAAAAGATTTTATCAGGATAAGAGGGACGGAAGGGTTAAAAATTAATTCCAAGATAAAACAATTTTATGGGACTCCTAATTTGATGATACAAATCATCTTATTTGTAAATTAAGATAACCAGAGATAAGAAATTACAAGTCTTTTGTGCGTGTGCTTTGTAAAGCTGGTATTGGTTCCATTTAGAGCTGGGTAGTGGAAGTTCATTCAACATAAATCAGCTATACTAGGCAAGACCAACTGCTGTTTAATGTTCAAACACTTCCCATGTTCCCAAAAAACTAGCAGAAAATATGATTAAACAAACATGTGCAATTTAAACTCTCACAGTGCACCATGGCAGCTTCAACACTGTATGCCATTTATTTCAACACACACATACTTACTTCATAAAATTCACCAGTTGGGCTTTTCAATGGTCTTAAGCAAGTCAGACACACAGCCTCTGATTCAGTGAAACAGGCACCTGTTTCTCATGGGGATCCCAGGCAAATCCGAGCTATAAGGTACAACCCCAACAGTTGCACACAATTGTCACTCACCATTTTTATGAATCCATTTATCAAAGCTGCTAACATTCTTTTCTCATCCTCAAGCGTTAGTGCACTATAAGAGAAAATTTATATGGCATATTTTAGCATATTTCTTACCTTACTCTCTGTAAAGGTTTAAATGACACATAATATTTTATATAATATTATGTTTATATAAAATATTTCTTTCACACTAAGTCCACTAAGCTCATAATTTTAGTTATAAAGCAGTAAAACTTTCTTTTGAGTATCACTAAGTCAACCATGCACCAAACTAAATTCCAAATTAAAGAAAATAAATGTAAAAATAACTAAGAGTGTCTTTAAATTTTACAGAAGCTCAGTTTTGGAATGAGAAGGAAGCTAAGCTAATGTTCTTTTCAGCAGCAAGCAAATGGCTTCAGCCTTGTGTTATGACGTGAGAACTTGAGTAGGAACTGATTATAAAAAACTAAAGAAATTACTAAACCTATTCGTAGAAGAAAGTTATACTATTTAAGGGGAAAAGCTTTTAGAATACACTTTAAATACTATATGTAACAGTTAATGTGCTTATTTTAGAAACAACATTAGTTTATTGTTTCGCGTGGGTTTTTATTTGGGTTTTTGTTTGTTTTTAACTAACCCTGCCACATAATTAGAAAAATTATTAACATCATCTTGTTAAAGTTCTGTCTTTTTGATGTTTTAATAAGAATTGAACTAAAATCATACGCAAAACCAGTTTCTTTTCAAGATTATCACAGACACCTATTCTATAGCAACAGTCCAAATCTGATTTGAAACAAATTTGCATCACATGAAAATCCAGTAAGTCAAACCTGTTCTGCTGAAAATGGATGAACAAAAAGTTAAATTACAATTAACAAATACAATTTAATCCTTTTACTATTATCTACTGGGCTCCAGCTTTGACCTTAAGTATATCAGTTACCAATTTCCTAGCTCAGACACCAGATGGGAAGAGAACAATAGTTTTATTATACAAATTCAGTAAAGGAGGAAAGAAAATCTCAGCATGATTAGCTCATTAGTGCATTGCCAATCAAAAGAGCCAACTGATGGGCTCTGAAAGGCTCAGAAGACTTGTAATGAGATCTCTGGGTCAGTTGTAGGTTTCCAGTTCAACTCTGAATCAGACCCCCACCAGTCTACAGGCTGTTATACTCCAACAGCTGTTATGGGGGTCAGCGAGCCCTACACAATGGTTTGGGAGTTTCCTAAACCAGGATGTAAAAGTAGACGCAGGAGTAACTTTAAGTTAGTTAGAATTTATGGTGATTTGCCAGTAAGAGATGACACAACAGAACCAAGCTAATGATGTACACCAGTTTAGCCCAGCTAATGAACTGCTGGTTTAGGGGATTCTAAGGATCCCAGTAAACTATCCAAATGTTTTGGCAAAATGTCAGAGGAAGCACCAAATATGGGTTGCAATAAACTGCTTAGTTTTTTTTAATAAGCTGTTTCACCTTCAATATATTGTTCTGTTTAAAGGTTGAAGTTGCTTTTAGTGCAACATACAGCCAAATAAGGTGCTCTAACACCAAATAAAGCACTCTAGCTGGTATAAATTGGAATTACATGCCAAATTTTACTTCTTTATTGGCATTAAATCTTGCATTCATGGCATATCAAGACTGAGAAAATTACAAGTTCCTTTACAGCATCTGCCATGATAAGAGACTCTGGGCTCAGAGTGCAAAAGAAACTGCTCTTACTTACAATTCTACTCAACCCAAACTAGAAGAAAAAAATTAGGGTTTTGCTGTTAAGATCTAAAATTTGCACCACTGTGATTCTGGCTCTATTTTCAGACAGAGTTTTCTCTGTGATTTTTCAAGTTACCTACAAACCACAACAGTTTTCCACATTGTACAACTGCTATTCAAACAGTGTGGGTACAACAGGGTACCCAGGATCCCCAGTAACCTCAGCACTAAAAGTCAAGAGGAAAAGAGGAGTATCTAGGGGAAAAACACTGAATGTTCAAAGAGCTTTTCCCCTGTTCTACCTTCCCCCACTCAAGTTCCTAGAGATCTTGCAGATGTCCTTTGAAAGATTTCACACCCCCTTGTAATGGCTGAAAAAAGTGGCCCAAGAAAAGGTATAATTGAGTATGGCAATTTGTGCTTTAATAGCTACATATTCACTTAAATCTCAAAAATAGCTTATTATTCACTATAACTCAATGATTACATTGGTTTCTGTCTCTGCTTAGTGTCCCTGCTTCACTAGAAAACTACAAAACCATTACTACTTTCCTTTTAACATTCAGCTTCAGTATTCAAAATAAAGCAGTAATTAAAGAGCAAATGGTACATGCTGCAACTTCACTGCACAGCTCTTCCCTCACTGCTAATTGGATTCATGTCTTAATCCATCATGAAACAAACAGCCTCGGAAATGTGAAACTGTACACCAAGCAGCCAAACTTTGCAATAAAGATAGTTATTAGCATGAGTAAAGTTAATCTTACTTCACAGAATCATGCATCGTCTTGCAGATATGCAGAAGAGCATTGAGGATAACTGGATCCTTTGTAGATTGCTGCTGATGCCTGTAAAAATGTTTTAGGAAAAGCAGTGAATAATCCTGCTCTGCCTAAATGAAAAACAGTTACTAGAATAACACCAATTTAATGCATAATTCAAATCATCACCATTGTATGACACTACAGAAGTTTTATATTCATTTTCTAACCAACAGAACTCCTAAGATCATGTGGTTATAAACGTATAATTCCAACAAATGCCAGTCAGGAAATACTATCTTAATATGCAAAGCTTTACTGCCAAGCTACAGAATCTGACTCGTTAAGGGACACAAAAAGCTAGACATGGGATACATTGAGGCAATCTAGGAACATCAAAACAAAGAAATCCTAGATCTATCCAGAAGTAATAAAGTTTCTCAGCTACTCATGGGCAGGCTGGCAGGATGTATGTCACGTTTAGGTACAGAGGCACACATGCAGCAGAGCACCATTAAGATGATTAAGGGGCTGCAGCATGTCTCATGAGCAAAGGCTGTTTAGCCTAGAGGGCTTTGGGGGAATTAGCAGTGTATATAAATACCTGAAGGGAAGGTGAAAAAGTAAAAAATGTTTCAAGGAACCTGTTAATTATTTGAAAGGAAAAGGACTGTTTGACTCGTACAGTATTTGAAGATGAAGCTTCATCTTCTAAGTTCATTTTCAACAGTGGAAATACCCATTTTTCTCCATAATAGCACTTGTAACAAGAGACTGTCTCTCTTCCTCCATTATAACGAAGTAACAGTTCTGTGCTGTCACAGCAGCTGGACAAGAAATGAATTTCATAAACTGACTAAGGCAATGTAAATCTTAAGAAGCTCAGAGAACAACTATTGTGTAAGCCACAGCAAGTCAGCATCAAGTCATCATTAGTACTTCAATTTCAGCTTTCTTTGTGAACAGTTAAACAGTCAATCAGCAGATTAACAAAACTGGCACATTTTCGTTTTCTTTTCCCTGCCGCCTGGAACATCTTCACAAGCTAAGTGGCCTATATACTGACTCACCTTCCACAGCAATCTTTCAACACATTCCCCAGACCCTCCAGAGTGCATTTAATCTCAATATTCTCCACTTACTTAATGAAAGATTCCATAATGCACTTGCAAACTTCCACTCTCACGCTTTCTTTCTGGAACATATCCAGAAATGGCAAGAATTTCTCCTGAAAGTACAAATACATAAACAAGTAAAAATAGGTATTTTACAAAAAACACACTGAAACATAAGTATTCTGGGTAAGTTTTATAATCATAGCTGTTTCAGTTAAAATTATTTTGATCTTTTTTGAAGACAATAATTCATCTTGAAGGATGAAAGAGTGGAACAAATGGAAAAGCAGTGCTGAGTGAAAGATGCATCAATTTACTGATTGCAGAGATCCAGAATAAAATACAAAACACAGATGTTACAAATTTTTTAAAAGCAATCAGATGCTCAAAACAGCTTAAGATCATGACAAATTCAGACATCTATGGGAACAAAAGGAAGGATATTAAAAACAATTAAAACAGGCCATGCGCCAGCAACCATTCTCCACGCACTCAGGACAACTTATGAAGGTCCAAGGCTTTAGATTGTTTAGATATTGAAATACTTTGTTTCTGTATCATATCAAGAATATAGAAAGGGTAAGTTTTTCAGAATTATCTGAGCAATTTGTGGACAAGACTTGATTCCAAATCCACAGGGTCACTCTTGAGTATCGCTCTTCAACTGGTTTCAGCGCTTTGACACTCTTTGTTCCTCTTTCTCTACCTCATACATAACTCCTGACCTCTCTAAGTTTCACTTTGTTTCAATGCCAAAATTAAGCCCTATAATAGAGTGTGTTAAGTATATATCATAACATAAAAATAGCTATCAGCAATTACACAAACAAATAAATGGTATTTTATCTTCCACCAATTGTCACTTGTGCCATACTAACAAACATACAGAATCTAACAGCCTAAGAAAAAAAATGTAGAAAATTGGAATTAGAATAATGAATATTTAAGTAATAAGCAGCAGTTACCAAGTCAGGTAAATTCTCTTACAGAAACAGTTCTAAATGGGTCTTAAAACTTTATTAAACAGAGTATCACTTACCACCGAAAAAAGCAAAGAGAAGTCATAGATATAGGTAATAACTTTCTGAATAATTGACTGCAGCTGAAGAGGAAAAAAAAACCAAAACAAAACAAAAAAGAGGAGAATTATTGTAATACAAGTTAAATTAAGACTGTCCACACCAGAGATTATTCTTTTCTAGTTATTTGTACAAAACTGGGTTAGAAGACACTTCAAGCATTCATCAATGTCATTTCTTCCCCCAAAGCAGGATCAACTACAGCTATGCTGTTCCTAGCAGATGTTTTTCCAACATGCTCTTCTGAACTCACATAAAGAGAAGCTGACCAGCCTGCCCAAGCTTTTTTTGTCCTTCATAGTCAGGCAGATTGTTCTGATTTATAGGCTGCATATCCCAGCTCTCCAGACTAAAAAAAACCCAAACCCCAAACACCCCAAATAAACAAACAAAAAAACCAAACCAATTTGCTAACTCTTCATTTGTAGGCACTTTATGTACCCTCCAACCACAAAAACCTTCTTCTAGAACCTATTCAACTAATCCATATCTCACCTGGCATGCAGAACTGAACATTGTAATTCCCTGAAGCCCTAACAATGCCAAGTAGATTGATTATTTTATGGTTTGCTTCTGTCTAAACAGCCTGCCAGGGTTGCTCATTTTCTTCAGCAGAACACCACTGTTGGTGTAGGAGTTCACTATTGCTACTTCTGAATACATATATCATTCTGGTTTAGCATTTTTCTGAAAGACTGATGTGCAGAGAAAAATGAAGGAACAAATCACAGCATTATATTGTTCCAAAAGGCTTCCCAAATTATAGCCAGGGTTTAAAAATAGTTATTTTGTGGTAATCGGCATCAGTAACATTTAAGAATTAAATTCATCTAAGAAAATGCACATCAGATTTTTACAGATTCGGCAAAATAAATTCTTTACCTGGGGGTAAGCATCTTCAAATGCTCGATCAGGAGTCATGTGTTTGATAACATCAGCCAAAACTGTGTTGACCTCCCGCTTCTGTGTAGTGAAAAATGAGGTTACAAAATACAGTAATGAAATCAGCACATGAATCAAGTCACTGAAAACTAGTTGGATTTCCATTTGCCTAAGCATCAGCTTTCTACAGAGCTCTAGCTAAGCCAGGAACCTTAGCCATAGCTGCAGTAAATCATTACTTAAACTGGTCCATATGCCATTAAAACAAAAGGGTAAGAAACAGGCAGTGGCAGGGAGTGGTGAAGACTCCTTCAAAGCTACATCTTTTGTCCCTATTCATCGTTCATGAAAGGAAATACACCTTTTCCTTCACTACTGAAATCCTACACACTTATACTGGGTAGCCATAGCTTTTCCATTTTTAATACCAAACTGCTAATACAGCTCCTTAGTCTGTATCAGAAAACCTTCAAAGGAAAGAAAGTTGCACGTACCGTAAAATGCCTGCATGTGTATTCCACCCACACTTCAGCACAGTTGATATAATCCTAGAAATACATGTGGCTTACAATTACCAGCATTCACAAGAGCTTATGAGAAGTACACTTGCAAAAATTACACTTAAAAGAATTAACTTCTGAGGTACAATTCATGCAGACTTAAAGATCTAGCACTAACAGCAGACCTCAAAAGTTGCTTATGTAGACTGACATTATACAGAATTAAGTTGTTCTAACGGAACTCAGAAAAGCAGGGATCATATACAGGTATTACCAGGCATCGTATTTTTTGGCAACTATCTGTATCTAGAAAACGTAAACCATATCCTGCTAAGCATATGCTTACTGAACAATTTTACCCTAAACACAGAATGAGTAGTGAAACAGAACAGACAATAACTCACCTGTGGGTTCTTCAGCTTTGTTATAACCTTCCAGGCTTCATTTAATATTTGAAGGCGATCATTTTCAGGAGGATCAGCCAATGCCAAGTTTAATCCCAAGGAGCGAAAGAGGAGATGCTGAAAGTTAATGAGAAATTTTAAATTAACAGCAGAAGATGCATGTCTGTCCAATACTGCTCTAGCAGGTACACTGTGCAGAAGGAGTTTTTGATTAAACCACCTTTAATTTAAATGCTGTGCAAGTTAGGCAGGCAACTAACTGTATAAAGAACTTTGTAAGACAACGAACAGGAACTGTTAGAAATTACATGCAAAGTCTCACCTTTGGGAATCCAGATTCATCACACTCTTTAATCATGCCAATGAAGTCCATAGATCTTGCAGCAATAAACTCTGCTCTGAATGCTGACATTATTGAATTCAACAGCAAAGCACTACAATGAACAAAACACAAATCAATACAGCTCAACATCAATTAAACTTTGGTTGTCCCTTCATTTACATTAATCTGAACTTCTTAAACTAAAAACTGTCCAGAATCAATTCTAAATTTTAAAGAAGGGGATAAGGAAGAAAAAACCCTCAGCAAAACAAGAAAACACCAAGACATCACGTAAGATAGCCCAGCTTGTAGCATACCTGTTCCACAGAGGTTTACCTGAAGCCATCGTTTTACAAGAAATTTACTAGAAAGATTAAGTAAACCAGGAGTAGCTAACAAATTTGGAAACTTACTCTCTCTTTTTAACTACAGTTCAGAAGAATACTTTGGGAGGGCAAATTTCTATTGAAGTTTTTCTCACTGAATTTAAATACATATACATTCAAAACAGTGAGATTTCTAGCAGCTGCATTGTTAGGATTAAAATAAACCCAGTCATTATCATATGATAACTGTCAGTGACATATTTAGACATTCATGATTAATCATTCGGATCCATATCTGTATTACTATCAAGCCAAAGTTACTGATGGAACAGAGAACTCATCATGTTACTGTAAAACCCAGTATATTGAATCTATTATGCAAACATAAGAAACAAAATCTAGTACCATTCAAAAGGCAGTTCCTCTGGGCAAACTCACCCATGAGTTAGCACAGAAGCTGCCTCATAAAATAGTGTGTCCTTCACTAGACTGAAACAGACAGTTTGCATACAGGGCAGTTTACCTTGAGGGAAATCTATGGAGCACTTAGAATAGCCCAGCATCCTCTGTGCTTTCTGACTGAGCTTTAGTGGTCCCATTGCAATTTGACTGAGATTTGCATTTTATCATTTGACAAGAACTTCCAGTTCAGTAGGTATATGCTTTACCATACAGAGAAGCAGACTCTCACTTTTCACTTAGATGGTTGCAATGTAGTTCACGGAACACACTGAGATTATTTAAAGATTTATATACTGATGCTTCTTGCTTTGTAATATTTTGACAGTCATTAGAAGACATAAACCCATGGAACTCCACTTTAAAAGAAAACTGTCACGCTTTATAGATCATCTACACAGGATTAGTCAACTTAATAATAGTAATAGTAGTAGTAGTAGTAATAATAATAATAATAAAGATATATCCCAAAAACATTTCTTCAAAAAACCCCAACTCATCAGACTCAACATTTTGTCCTTCCTTCAAAGGGCAAAAAGGCACAAAGAAAAGGCCCCTCGCCCATCTTTACAAGAAACACTAAAAGGTGACTTATTATAAGTTCCACAAAGCAAACCGGTACCTATACAAAATAATTAAGACAGCAGAGTACATGGATTATTCTACCCATATTATACACTCTGATACAACAGCATCTTCACATTGCATTTTTAAATTTTTCTCTTTCCCCACACCCCTTAGCTCAGTCACGGAATGCTAATGCTGGCATTCCTCATCTAAATGATTAACATATTTTAGTTCCTCAGCCACTGCAGGACTGGACTGTGCAAAGCACATCAGTTAAAAAACAGCCGAAAACTTTCACAGAACTCAGCCCACCTACCCAACAAAATGAACTGAGATTAGCTCACCAGCAGGTTAAATTCCATACACACAGCTAAAAGTACAGCCAAAACTTTCAGACCATCTTCCTGAACTAGTCATTGAAGGCGATTACTCTGTACACAGGCTTCTAGGAGACATTTGGGATACTAATTTTAATGTTGAAAAAAGAACTCATCTAAATATTACCATCTTCCAAAGGTGTCAGCTGCTTTACAACTTCCCTTGCAAAAGGCATGTATGGGCTGACTGTAACCAGTGCAGGCTAGGGGGAAGGAAGGGGAGGAAAACAGAAAAATGAAGTACAACCAGGAATCAAACATGGCTGATGGAGAACATATTATGTGTCCTAAACTTTGGCTGAGGAACCAGAATGCAGCAACCAAGTTAAATTAATTAACTTTAGCTCTACAAGTAATCAACCATGTTTTAGAATTCATCTCTGGAAAACAGATGTTCATAATCATGATTTAATAAGATACTAGGAGAACAAAAGCTATACTATGCATCCAAAAAGTGTTTTCAAAAGGGAGAGAGAGAATTTTATTACACGGACTCGTAATAACTCAGGTCTTCTGCATTGTACAATACTTACTTGTTCCCCAAATTTTTGCATCTCTCCATCATCTCAGTAAGCAGAACCTGAAAGAATTACTTATTAAAATTAGTGAGTAGAGACTGCAACTAAATTCAGCTTTAATTACTGTAGTAAAGTCTACTAAAAGCTGTTTTAATTACCTACCCAATACATTCCAATAATCCTGTCTTATCCTGCATTTATAATACAAGAAAACAAGGGTGTAGTACGACATAAAACACACCTACTGGAGTAACTACGATGGCATTTTAATCAAACCCACCGTTTTATGGAAGTGAAATTTGCACTCCTTCAGCCATGCCATTTCTCAAAGTAATTACTATTTGCCAGTCAGGTCAATTATCTCTGGCAGGAGAGGTGAAGATTACCAACTCTCTGCCACAGAATGCAAAACAGACTGCCTGTTGACAGTGTTAAGCAATTAGAAAGCTACAGTTTACTCAAATCATTTTTATATCTGTATGACAGAAGAAACTAATGAATTAATAAAATAAAGATTAAACTAGCTAAAGGACAGCAAGAAACAAATAGGAATAATGCCTATGAATTTGAAGTGGTCTAACTTCAGCTTTGTGGACATGAACATTCTTCCTGTACAGAAAAGAGAAACAGACAGTTGCACCTGGGCTCTATATAATCACTTTCATAACCATGTAAATACTGATGAAGGGGTTTTTATAATATGCAAAATGAACTCTTAATGCCAACACTTCTTTGAGTATCAAGCATTACCATACTTCCTTACCTCAGGAGCACGATATGCAATGCACTGTAAAATCCAGTCTATAGCAGGAGAATATAGAGTCAAATACAAAGGAATCTCCACACATTGCACTACCAGCTGATTCTGAACTGTGTCCCCATGAATCTGTTGAAATAAAGACAAAAACAAGTTGCTAAGAATAGGTATTTAAATAGGAGATACAATAAACTGGACAAAGTTTGTGTATGAATAAAAATGACAACAGAAAACATCACAAATATACACAGATTTTCTGAAGCATTCCTTGTTTGCTGGGGAAAAAAATACCAAGCTCATAACAATTACTATTAAAGTACGGAAACATGCTGAGTAGAGCAGTTTCAACTTACCTGAGTGTATGTACAGTTTCCCATACTGTGTCTGGATACAGGAGCATCCCAAGTCTAGATTTAAGAACTTTAAAGATTTTTTTAAAAGTATATGGTAGTTTGGTTAAGGAGTGTATTTATGTGATTTTGCAAATAAAGAAAACTAACCCCTTATTTACTTACTTGCTTAAATGTTAGCAGAAAGTCAAAGAAATTTTCGTTAAGGCTTTCTTTGAGTTGTGGTGCCACTTCCATTCCAACCTGTATTAAAACAAAGATTTTATCTGCATCTATCAGCTATGATTCTCCTTCAATTGTAAGACAAAAACACATTTTCCGGAGGAGTACACCTAGTCATACACATCAAATCAACACACAGTATTGAATCATGGTTTTGACTGACTATTTCCTTGCTTACTATGTTAGTAATGTCCACTAACAACTACCCTGAAGTAGTCATAGCTGTGTTTAAACATGATTCTCCTAACATCAGCTCCAAGTGCCTGTAAACAGTGAGGAAATCAGTGTCTACCCCAGTGCCTGCACTGCAACAGCCTACATTCATTGTATGCAGAAAGCCTATGATGAAGAATGTTTAAAAAGTCAAAGTTCAGAAGTTGCTTAAAATCATGTGTATTCATTCCATGGACAGAACGAAGCAAAGATCCCAAAGGAAAATACACAGACAGATATAATATTGATAAATAACACAAGCTGATGCACAAACACGAGGCCTATGTAGTAAAGCTGGAATTGCAAGGGAAACTAATCCTTACAGGACTGTTTACAGTAACACAGATGAAAAATACCAAAAAAATAAAATGTGGCATATTACTAAAGAAAAGATGCAATAATGAATGAGAAGCTACTGACAGATTAATAACAGAAAAGGCTTAATAAACAAACAAATCCATCTCAACAGCTTAAGGTTCCCCTCTTCAAACAAACCCAGGGGTCTGAGTTTCTGGGATCCCTGAGCATATGCAGTTCTAGCTGACTTCAGCACAATGCAGAGGTACCTTGCACAGGCCCAAGCCAGACATCTATCACAGTTCTTTATATATCATTCATGTCAAACCACGTGTCTACATTGCTGTGTAAATATCTGGCTCTTTGGTTTCATACAAGAGTTTATTTGCACATTTTACTACCCTGTGGTTTCAGACATCGTTTATACTGGTACTACAGGTTTCCTATTCCAGAATTCATATTTTAAAAAAATTCTGTTTTCATTATCTTCATTGTGAAAGTATTCATACAGTGTCAGCAGCTGGAATACAGAAGATTAAATGCCTCCCAGTCCACTAAGTTTTCTTACTTTAAAGAAAAGTCAGGATTTTAGTAGTTAGTATTTTATTCCAAGAAAATTCTCATTATTTATTTTATATGATCATCTCTGTGGACAAACAGATCATGCTAAGCACTCCCTTAACTGTAATTACTGTTACTAGATTCTTAGGCCTAACTGCTCTATCATTATGCATCTCTTTTAGGTGTATCAGAAGCAGTAAAAGGTGGATTGTGCATACAAACTGTTTCCTAAGAAATCTTCAA